CCAGTTCCTCCAGCGGCATCCAAAAAGAAAAGTGCACCATTTTAAGATTCAATTTGTCCTAATACTTAGTCAAAAACTCGTTTTTGTTCGGGAAGCAAGCGGGGTACAAATTCGGCTACTTGCTGCTGCAAAGCTGGTATATCGTAGTTTGTTTCACGTATAATTTCATCACTTAGTTCATTTTCGGTTGTTCGCTGAGGGCTTAACATTCCAAAGTCGCTTAATTTTTTGCCTACCATTGCCATTACTTTATCTTCAATTTTTCCAAGTGCTTCATTAAAAATGCGTTCATTTTATGTCATGTTCGCGTGTGTCTGCTGTAACCTTCGCAAAATATCTTCCGCCATGTACTCTTTATATTTGTCTTACAATTCATGTGAATTAGATAGCCCACAAGATGGTATGAGAGTTGCATAAAGAATTTCTAATTTTGGCTGGTGACGGGCACTGCATAGCTTCCTCCATGGTTTCATCCCAGTGATTATCGTTTTCTAAAAGATGCAGAGCTTCACATGCTTCTCTATAAGTTGCGCATTCCTGACCGTTGACAGTTTTAAGGTCTTTATATCCTGTAGGACCATAACATGGTGCAGCAACAATCGTAAACAGAAACATTCAAAATTAGATTACATGGACGGTATACACACAACCAAGGGCATCTGATGACTTTACACCGGACCAATTTGCAACAGGCGCGCCTTAAATACGGCATTTCCACTCCTTCCTAGATGTGTTCCAAGTATAATAGCGGGGAACTTCAGAATATAACAACGTTTTTGCAAAGGGGTCGGTTTGACAAATTTGAAAGAAGGCTGTTAGTGTAGTTTTTGGCGGTGATGCAATTCTTTCTTGGAAATTTCTTTCGGTGAAATATACACGCTCTCCATTTTCTAAATGCACAGCAAGGTGAGTAACTGCTGGGTGCATTTCGTGTAAAGGGAAGCCAAGGAGACGCAACGCTGCATCGTTACTGCTGACATAACGCCCTGCTTGAAAGGTCTGTACTTCATTAACGGGATTTGCCTCACCTTCACTCCTGAGATTAAATATTGCTTGTTCGCTTCCTTTATTTATGTACTTACAGATATACTTGATTGTGTGGACAGAGCTACATGCTTCTATATTAATGTGGGCATTAAACATTTTACATAGAATGGGCGAATACGGGACAATACAGCTGTTATCTAAGGTTTCGAACGCTCAAGAGCGAGATTTGATTGTAATTTTCCTGCCACCATCTTCGGGAGCTCTGCGTCTGTATAAAGGGTAGCCATCGTCATTGTGCACTGTTTCTTTTAATAGCTGTTTAGGGAATTTCTTTGTACATTTTCCTTCTTTCATACATGGCGATATTGAATTTCGTGTTCCACATGGACTGTGAATCATATTTCGGACGATGGTATCATACAATTCTTTATCTTGCTCAGGATCCGGAATCTCGGCGCTTATTATGTCATCTATATGGCTGGGCCGCAACTTCTCTTTAAGCCATATTAGAATGTGGGCATGCGGTAATCCTCTTTTTTGCTATTCAATTGAATAGATAAAGCACTGCTCCTCTCCGAAAATGTTCCCTTTGTTAATTACATACATTAATTTTTGTACTTTTAATCTAAATACTCTAGCAACTAAATCGTGTTTGTCAGTACTTTTTTGGCCCGGCATTAGCTCCTCGGTTATTTCTTTCCATGTGGGATTGCAAGTAAAAGTAACAAAAAGATCAGGTCTTCCGTAAGTTCGTACATAGGCGAATGCGTCTTGTGTGTACTCATGTAGGTAGCGGGGACTGTTAATGAATGATGAGGGCAGAATTATCATTTTACCTAAATCTCTAGGGTTTACATTTCTCAACGCGCAGCTTTTTTTATTTAAAGATATATAACGGTGACGTTCACTTTCTACCTTCACATACATGTCTACCAAAAATTGATAAAATAATTGTCTACACCGGGCTAAGAGGTTAAAATCATTTTCTCGCAACATAATATGATACGCATAAAAATCCACACATGATACTTTTTTGTTCGGAGTAGGCTCCTTTGTGACCGGGTTAATGAGTGGAATTTGAAAATGATAACCCTCTTGTCCTTTGCAATTAATCAATGGGTATTGCAGAGCGTCATAAAACTTGTGTGTATCGGCTACCCGTTGCAACGTAACATCACGTGCTCGCAAGACAATGTCTCGTGAAGAAAATTGATCACACTAATTACGGCTGCTATTTCGTTTATCAAAGGTGCATTGTAGCGCTTTTCATGCTCTCCTCAAGGGGTCCGATCTGCGTGAATGACGACTTTATAATCCTCTTCAGGTAGGTTTTCTAAAGCAGTTTTAAATGTTTTGACTAAAATGTTACGTTCATGCAAGAATCTTTGAATTTTGAACTGTGTCTTTATCAACTCCCTGGATAAATTGGCAGCGACGGTCTATCTCAATTTCTTCGTCACTTATAAAACATACTTGTAAAAATTTATGCTATTCATTTTCAGCTGGAAAAAGTGAACCTATTCTATAATAAATTTGCCCTTGCACCTTAAATGTAGGCGAAAATCCCGGCATTATTATTTCCCGGTCAACTCCGAAGGACGTCATTTGAAAGCATGAGTTATATTGCCGGATCCTGTTTAAAAAGCGCCGTGACTCATTAGCATCATATAAAAAGAGAGATTTCAAAGGTTCTTCTGGTTCCCCAAGTAATGGAAGAGACACTTTGCCATTGGAACAGCACATGCCTGCGGTCTCATCTTTCCATTTTAATGCGCTGCGAAATTGACACGCCTTGTTCATCAGTCCGATAACAACTAACCTGTGATTTTTATAATCAATCAACGGATTATAATTGAATGCTACGTCATTGAAAACCGACCAAATGTTTCTTTGAAAATTTTGTCGACATTCAGCTTGGAGCTGTACATTTGCATCTGGATTCTAAAATGGTATCACTGCCTGTTCAAGACACCTTCGCTGACATTAAGGTGTTTCAGAAGCTCTTAAAGTAGCTTGACGCTCTGCCTGTTCAAGACGTCTTCGCTGATTTTGAGAAGGTGTTTCAGAAGCTCTTAAAGTAGCTTGACGCTCTGCCTGCTCAAGACGCCTTTACTGACGTCGAAAAGGTGTCTCAGATGCTCTAAAAGCAGCCTAACGCTCTGCTTGTTCTTGCCTTCTCAGTTCAGCATCTTCTAAGGATTCTAGCGATCGAGCTAATCTTTTCGCTTGTCTTTGAGAAGATGCTCTTAAAAGGCTGGACTTACGTTTGCGAGGCATTATGAAGTAACAAAAAACCTATTTATAAAAAAAACTTTAAAATACCTAAAAGGAATTAAATTTCCTTTTATAAATATTTTTTTAAATCAAATCCAAAATATCTAAAAAAGAATAAATATTCCTTTTAAATATTTTTTAAAATCAAAACAACAAAACCAATTCAAGACACAACACGAATCCGAAAATGATAGCCAAAAAAAAATCGAATCAACTTAAACCAAATCACGAAACAAATCACAGAAAACCGAAATCGAAAGCAGTAGTCAATATAAATATAACCAACGAAAAAAAAAGTAAGTGTATAGGTACCGTATACACTATCTATACTATTAATATTCCTTTGAAATAATGTTAAACAACTTAAAACAGCGAAAACCAATTCACAATTCTAAATAAACAAAATCCAAAATCAAAGCCAGAGTCTAAATATGTATAAAGGAATACCAATCAAATCAACAAAACCGATCCAAGAAAATACACAAATCCGAAAATGAAAGCCAACATAAATCCATTCAACCTTAACTAAATCACAAAGCAAATAACAAACAACCGAAATCGAAAGCAGGTAGTCGAATAAGCTACGAAATAGAAACAATTTAAGCGTATAGGTACCGTATGCACTATAAGTTGACGCACGGCTCAACGGCGGGAATTAAGTATATGTCAGGAAACATTTCGTTACCGCGTTTTTAAAAACTAGTAACGACATCTAGCGGAATCAATTTAAACTATGTATACGTTACTTAATAAGAACTCTCAAAAATATTTTTCTTATAATTTTGCACAATTTTTCTTATTGTAATACCGATTCATTCATAACTACATAGGGGTCGCAATACCGGTTCTCTTTTTAAAAACCGGTATTTTCGGTATTCCATTTTAAAGAATACCGACATTCCGGTAGTTTCGGTATTTTCGTATTTTTTATTATAAAGAGAAAAATATTTAAAATATTTAACGAAACCGTAACTTTCGTAAGGGAATTGTTACCAACCAAATAATAAAAGTGTGTTTAGATAAGAAAATCACATTTATTTTAAAAAAATCTATCATTTATTACGAAAGTTTAATAAATAACTCACTGATGTTGAGTTATTTTAAACAGAAAAAACTTATAGTAATCGGCTTTAACAAAAACATAAAATACTCCTGCTAAGTAACTTTTTCACAGCTAAACACAAAAACCGAAATCGTAACATTCATTTATATCGTCAGCTTTAACAAAACATAAAGTGCTCTTTGGCGACATATCTTATTCCTAAAAAAAACGTAAACGTCTAACTCTTTAACTGTAACTACTTACTAACTCTTTTTCATGTAAATTGGAAAATATCATTCGCGATTCACATTCACTCTATAAATTTAAACTTAATTCTTATAATGCAATGCTCTTCAACAGATTTAAACATGCTAGGTAAGATCTAGCAACAAGATTCACTCAGTCTTTCGTTTAAATAGTGAGATCGTAAAAATAATAGTGCATCTAGTGTTTTGTCACTTAATCTTGACCGTAAATGATTACAAAAGTAACCAGCTGAAGAGAAATCTCTCTCTGACTCGACGCTGGTAGGGGGAATGCTCATTAAATTATGATATGCTAATTCTAAATATTTTCCACTAGAACCGCCGTTTTCATATAGAGCCATTTCTATATTGATCAATGTATCTAAATCTACATAGCCTGGAGTATTTTTAGATACATTATATGGAGTTCGCAGTTTCTTTTGAACCGCAATTTATAATTGCTTCTTGAGCGGTAGTGTGTCAGATTCGTCATTCCTGTATTTATTCTCCTCGTCTGTAGTAGAAACAGCAACGTCAATCGTACGTTCCGTAGCCTGAGTCTGACCAAGCTGATGTAGGTCTGCAATATGTTTTCGCATTTCGTCGCCATTTGGCCTTAGAAAGATGTCGTAGTAGTCATCATCTGATGAATCAATGTATGATTTGGGATTATGCAAATAATTTAGAGTAGAAGTCACCAACAACCTGCGCTCTTTAATTTTTCGCTTCAGAGATTGGAGAAGTTCACGAGCAACTGGTTCATGATGCAGAGCTTCTAATTTTTTGAGCATAAACATCAAAACCGCGTCAGACGTCATCAGATTGGCGTTTCTTTTGCAAAGTTCTTTGACTGTCGCTTTTAGGATATCAAATACATTGCTGAGATCAACCAGTTTTTTGAACTCATTCTCAGATATTTCCAGGTTCATATTTAAATCTATCAGCGCCTTTTGAATAGGGATTTTGAGTTTAACAAATCTTTCTAACATTTCTGCTAAATTGTTCCACCGTGTCCTACAATCTAAAATCAAACTGAGCTCATGTCCTATTTCTTCTTTTACATATTTCTGCAATGTGGCATCATTTTTAGTGGGTGACTTTCTGAAAAGTTTCACAACTTTTCTTACTTTTTCGTTTAATTAATTGAAGATAAATTCGTTTCCCTTTCTTTGATTTGATATTTCTGCTCTCACAGTCAAATAAAAACCCTCGTCATAATAATCTTCTCCAATTCCGATGCAGAGTCATAAGAATCATCATCTTCCAGTTCGTTTAGTTGAGTTTGGGTACTGTTTTCTTTTTTATAGAGCACGTCTAATATCGCTAGCTGTATACCATGAGCAAGGCATTGCTGGTGGAAAAGTGCTGCTTGTCTTCCAAATTCGATCATTACACTGGCACCGTCAGTAGTTATACAGACTATATCCTCATTTCGAGACAATTCAAATGCAGATAGCCTATTTTCCAGTAACTGCATACATGTTCTGGCCGGCATGCTACCAAACACCCTTAAAAGGACAAAGATTGGCAAAATTATTGGTTAACATAAGACTGTGGATATTAACATTTATAAATCGACGATTTCCCAAACTCGTCCATTCATCCAGCGTCAAAGACAGTTTCATTCGGTCTGCTTTCAGTTTGCGCAGTTTAGAAATTAAATATAATTTCACAGTCTCACTGTGCTTTAACAACATGTTTTTAATGGAGTTTGAGGATGTAGGCATTTTGTATCCACATTGCGCCATGATGCGCTTTTGGTCTACAGATGTAACAAAATGGCTAAATGGAAGGCCATCTACAGCTGTCATACGAGAAAGTGTGTCTGGTAAGCTATTTGAACTTGGAAAATAGTCTGTCAACTTACTCTTTTTTCTTGGTGGTTCATCTTTTGTAGCAAGCGAAAAACAAGATGGGGTGGCAGTGGCAGTAGAAGTGGTTGCCCGCTGAGTTCCACTGCTAATATCTTTTAAAATGATAGAATGCGCTGCTTTTAGATGGGTGTGAAGTCCTGAAGTTGAACCTCTAGATGTTTTCAGTATTTTGTTACAGCTAATACACTTAGCTGAGAAATTATCCGTAGCTTTTAGAAAATGAATCCAAACTGACGTTTTTGTTTGTAATAGTTTTTTATGCTTTTCGTATACAACTTTATCGTTTTCAAGATCCGCCATTTTTTCAATGAACCAACCTGTAAAAAAATATTCTATTAGGCAAAGAAAATATATTTTTGGTACCTACTTAAGTATAGGAGTTGGCGTCAAATTGGGCTCAGTGTTCACTACTAAAGTAACAAACAACACTCAGCGAGTTATTCCTCTATAACTATAGTTCATAAAAGATAGCTTGATCTCCTCGACAGCTGTCAGTAAAAATCACGCCTATGAAGTCCTGAATTTCGTAGTAGTACAGACAGTACCTGTCAATGTCATACTTTATGGGCATGCACTAATTAGGTCGGCATGCCCATAAAGTATGACATTGCCAGGTACTGTCTGCGTGTCTCTACTACTAAGAAATTCAGGACTTCATAGGCGTGATTTTACTGACAGCTGTCGCAGAGATCAAGCTATCTTTTATGAACTATAACAAACAATATATTACTTACAATTTAATCGCATTGATTCTCCACAAAAATGTTATAACTTTAGATAACTAAATATCAACTGAATTTTAGTAGTATAGTAGTAGTAGGTACAGAAGACCCAGTTCGCGAAAATATTTAGGAATATATATGCGACTATGGATACGAAGCACGCAACAAATTCCAATTTAGCTCTAACGAGTGCTTTATACCCTAACCTAACGTTTCGTCATTTCATAGACCAAATAGGTACCTAAATAGACTTCTACCAATTGTACACGGTACCATTTTGCCTTTGTTATGGATGGAGAAACAAAGGTACCTATAAGGCGCGTAAGTACGTAGCTAAGTAGCGGACACACATAATTTTGGTCGGCGCGCGACAATCAACTAAAAAAAGAAGACCCGGCTTTATTAAAGTGCTTCTAATTTAGTAAGGCAATGACTGTACTTACCAATTTTGCCACCTTCCATTGGATGGGTTACTCTGCCTGCACTCACCAAACTAAACAAATATCTCACACAAATATTAACATCAACGCATGCGTCTCTGTCACCATTGCGTAGATTACTGCGGGAGAGCGAGCGTATTCGCCATGAGCTCGGGACTCGGGAGTCAGGAGTAGGTACACTCTCTCACGCACTCTAGAGTATAGTCGCGTGGCTAACGTTGCATAGTCGCGCCGCGTTGCCATAGCAACCATCGTGTGAAAAACGCGAGCTTTCATCATATTATTTAACATAGATTTATAATGACATACGGAAATAACTTAAATACCGGTTTCCGTTCACTCAATCCCGGTATTTTAAAGCTTTCGATTCAGTCCGGTATCCCGGTATTTTCGAGATTCGGAATCCCAGTTTGCGACCCCTAAACCGCATATAAGAACTGTATTCATTTCAGTTCAATAAATATTACTAAGGCTTATTAATAAGGCTTACTAAGAACTGTTTCTACCACACTTAAGTAATAGTTAAGGGTGGAAGCAAGACAGGTGGTAATAGTATTTCTGATCCATACTTATAATCACGCCTGTAACCCTTGCGGGGTAGGCAGAGCATCAACGGATTACTTAATATCGTCTGCGAGGTTATCGCCTATTCTGTGAATTACAATGCACCAAAACTTTTGAAGAAAATCAGCTGGTGAATTTTATGTTTTTTAGCGCTCTCTTCCCGGTCCTGCGTGGAAATATACAGATCCAATACATTTTTTTATCTTAATTTTGGTAAAAAGACGTAATAATCCAGATATTCTGACCTTTTGTGTTCGTCCATCGTACCGTCGTCCGTCTTGTAGAATCTCGGTGGCGCCACCTAGCTGAATTTAATTTTGCAACTTATTCGATCTTCCCACGGGAATCATATGTTTTTCCGCTGAAAAAAGTAGCCTATGTCACTCTACAGCCACCGAACTATCCCAATACCAAAATTCATGCCAAGCCGACGCTCTGTTGCGACTTGAAAGAAGGACAAACTTTTGCAACATATTCTATTTTCCCACGGGGTTGAGATGGTTTTCCGCGATAAAAAGTAACTTATGTCAAAAGAATGCCGCAAAGCATGGTCCTGAGCCACTTTCCTTGTCATGAGTTTTTCAATTATAATTATAATTAGTATAATATAAGTTATAATTAGTACCTATTATTAAGTCAGTGTTAATTATATTTATTGCTATTATTTTTGTCTTTCTCAAAAAATAATTAAATTACCAAATAAATTATAAGGTGTTTTTATATACATCAAATGTCTGATAGAAAAGCAAGTACATGTTTTGCTAAACTTTAAAAACAAAACCCAATTTTAAAACATAGACTAAACGATTATAACTCCTTTAAATTTAAAATAAGTTTAGTTCTAATTAATGGTATTTATTCCAGTTTCTGATGCATGTAAAGAATAAATAAAGCTAATCGTATATCGTATATCTATTTACAGCCCCATTAATATTCACTATTATTTTATAATTATTTGGACAACACTTGGATTTTCTCCTGTATCGCGGAGGCAACTTACAAACATAAATTGCACAAGGACACACATCCAGACCCGAAACAATTATTTGTAGGATATACAAATACATGTTCCGTGCGGGATTCAAACCCGCGACCCCTGGCACAGCCACTCATTGCCAAGCCACTGCGCCACGGATCCGTCGTCTAAAATAAAATAAATTCGTCCGCACATTGGCCCGAACCGAAGTAAACTGAACGACCTTCCAACGTGTGGACGCCGTCACCAACTCTCGGCCAATATATTCGCCACTACATTCGCCACTGTGTTCGCCAACGTATAGAGGCGACATAAGACAAATATACGAGACAGTTTATGGGGGAGTCCTATGTCGAGCTGTGGACTTTAGATAGGCTGTAACGGTAACGGATAATCATTACAGCCTGTCATAAGTCTACGACTGAATATAAACAGTGAACTTTTAATTTTATGCAATAACATGCTAAAAAAGTTAAAAATTAGCTTAGTTTAAAATTTTAAAGAACGTGTTTAAAGAACACGACAGGTAAGCCTTAGTAAATTTAGAAGTATTTTTTCCATTATTCTTAACGAAAAAAACGAAATGTAATAATTGTCCATTTAAGATAACATGAGATGTTCTTGAGTTTTCTTTTAACTTTATAAGGTTTTGTCACCATTCTCGTCACCACATAGATGTATAAGTAAGCTCAAAATCATTCAGAGAGGAAACTCTGTTAAATTTTTTTCTGCGTCATAAAATCCATAAGAAGAACATCTTCAATATAGATAGAACCAGAAACAGATACAGCCAAATCATGTCAAATCAAATAATTTAAGCGACATTACGCTGGCTATATCGTACATAAAGAAAGGTCTTCAAGTTTTAAAAATTCTGATTAAACCAACCCAAACCAATATAAATCAACACACTCTGCTCTATATAACATGTTATTAACATAATATGAAACTGTGTCAATGTCTATAATATAAACTTTAAATTAGGAGGGTCGGAAGCGATGGCAATACAATATTAATACATTGGAGCTTACGACTGCGTAGCCTACTTTGCGTAAACGGAAAAATGTTTTTTTTAGTTTAGTTTAGTTTAGTTTAGTTGAAGTTGTCCCCTTTTTTGACAACCATTTTTTAATCTTCAAAGTTGTCCCTACTCACTACTAAAACTCCTCTGGGATAATTACAGAGAAAATTTGCCTAAATCGCCGAGCTTGACAGGTAAATAGTCGACTTCAATGCCAGACGCCTCGCATCTTTGACATTGCTTTTTGTTGATGGCCCAGTATTTTAAGCCTGCCTTAAACGAGTTTTTTAATACCGCTGTCTATTGGAAGTCTTATGATGTTTCCCGAATTC